ACTGCGCCACCACTGCTCTTATAGATAGGCTGGCCCAATCTTTCTTAATGGGCACAAAATGCCTGCTGGGGGCTATTAAGTAAGACTGAGTCTGCCTTCCTACCTCTAAAAAAACCCATGTTTCTCCATTTCTCATTTAGGGAAATATAATATTCTGCATTTTTAATATTTCCCAAGATATTTCATTCTTCTGGGGAGTGGTGCTGACTTTCTACAAATCATAAAAAGCTCTTTACATTTCCAACATTCAGTTGAGGTTCCTTTAAACATTCTGGACAATTTGTCCAGTGATAGATACACACAGTACATCATCTTATCCAACTTTTCTTTTATAGTTTAATGTGAATTTTAGATCTTTCATCTGTCAAACAAAAAAATATTCTGTCAATGAGTACTTCAGCTTCAACCACAACAATACCTGAGCAAATAAGAGATACAAACTCAAGGTAAACCGCTCCAAATTCAATTGCAGAAAATACGACTTCAGCAACAGAGTGGTCAATGCCTGGAATGCACTACCTGACTCTGTGGTTTTGTTGCAAGAAATATCCTTCTGGGTTCTGCTCCAAGTGGGGAAAAAGACACTGGAAACATGGAGACTGCTTGGAAAGATGGTTTAATGGTGGACAGGATCACATGGCTTGAGTTCCTGAACAGAAAAGGGCAGATACAGCGAATCCTCGGTTTTTTATGCTCTCTCTGGCTTTGAATTTCCTGGGGCCCCAAAAGAGAATCCTGATTGGTTGTCAGACTCCCAGGGGGTGGGGGTCTTAGCTAGCCTTGCTAGCTGATGTAATCTTCCCAGGTGCCATGTGGTGAGCTTCTGTTGCTAGATGGGTAGAGGGCTAATCCTATCTTTGTTGGATCTTTGGCAATTCCTACTATGGCTCTGCCTGAAGGAAGTAGATCTTTGTTATGTAGAATAGACTGGCCCAGGCGTTAATGGCCCATTGAGAAAGGGTGGGAACAGGAAGATGGGAGCTGCTTCATCTTTAAAACAGGCTTCTCAATTTCTTATCCAGGGAAATATAATATTCTGCCTTTTTAATATTTCCTAAAATATTTCATTCTTCCAGGAAAGGGGTGGGTGCTAACTTCCTACAGTTTCTTCCCCAAATCCCCAAAACTTTAACCTTAAACTGTCTACTGTTGACTTCACCCCATTGCTAAGGGGTCTGTAAGGCATAAGCGCACCATCGTCCCTGTCCTCATGTCCCTTTTTACTCTTATTCTTTTCATGTATTCCAATTACGTTTATGCTTTTATAGGTTTTCTTATATATGCTTGACAAATAAAAAAATAAAATGTCATGAACTTTCAGGGCTCAGCACGTAGTTAATCTTCGTAAGCTTAGAGGTATCACATTTCACTCTTTTGTTTGGGTCAGTTGCCAGAAGTCAAAAATGACGGTAGCATTTAATCAGTGAAAACACATTGCAACCGCCTTAGATAAGAGGGGAGACAAGCGCGTTTTTCTGCCTGTCTGGAGATGGCGCTCAAACAGGCAACACCGGTGGCTAGAAAGCGGACGGTACAGCAGGCGGCGCCTGTGGTTGTGTTTAAGGAGTTAAAATCATCAAGTACTGCATTGCTAGAAAGGCTGGGAGGAGAGGAGACGCGCAGAGGAACTTCCTCTTCCGGATGGCTGATGGGAGGAAGTTGGTGTGCAGAGCGGCTTTTGTGCTGTTTCCATGGTGGAAGCAGCAGCTGGCAGGTGAGTGGAGGGCAGCAGGTGGGAGGAGAGTCCGGGAGCAACTTGGGCTGGAAGCGGAGAAGCAACTGGGCTGAAGCCTCTCAGCTGCGGCTGCTGCAGGTTCCTTCCCTCCCCAAATGGAAGCCCACTGGTGCTGCAGGCTGGGAAACTGGGGGCTGCAATTTCTGCTGGTGGGAAGATTGAAAAAGCCTCCTTCCAATGCAGATTGAGCCTTTGGGGCTGGTTTCCCTCCAGAGGGAGCTCCGTCACTGGAGGTTTGGAAGAGAGCTGGAAGAAACCTTGGAGGTCTTAATGACGTCTCAGACAAATGGCTGTCCCGTCGGTTTAAAAGCCACCAGCAATGGAGCCCCCACAACCTCTGGAGGGAAGCCATTCCCGAAGAATCAACCTTCACTCAAAAGGGACTTTTTCAGTCTTCCAGGCAGCAGAAAATTGCAGCCATTCCCTTCCACTGGCTAATTGTTCTCACTGATGGGATTTTTCCTTAATTCCAGGTTTTTCTCTCTCCTTGATTAGTTTCCATGCATTTCTTCTTGTCTTGTCCTTCTGGTGCTTTGGAAAAGAAGTTGACCCTTCAAGTATTGGAACACTGCTATCATGTCACCCCTAGTCCTTCCTTTCACTAGGCGATTCATTCCCAATTACTGCAACCCACTAATTATCCCTTCTGCTCTTCTCTGCGCTCTTTATAGAGTCTCCACGTCTGTTTTATATTGTGGTGATGAAAAGTGGTTGCAGTAATCCAAGTGTGATTTTAATTTAAAGCATTATCAATTGGTACTAATACTTCATGTGATCTCGATTCTATCCCTCTCTTTAGGCAGCCAGAGTTTCTCAGGCTTCTTGAGTTGTTTTCCTGTTTAAGATTTTCATCCATGGAATCCTTCCCAAGCTGTCTCTTGGTTTGTTAAAATCGGCTGCTTTAAAGTCTAAGACATTAGTTTGATTTTGCTCTATTGCTTGTGTCTGCGTTATATTGAATTCCAGTATGACATGGTCACTCTTCCCCCAATTTACCTGCAACTTCAAACCTCCCCCCCCCTTATAATTTCCTCTCTGCTAGTAAAAATTTAGATCACTATAGTTCCCTTTTCTACCTTTTCGATGACAAATTGTCATCTAGATTCATTTGGAACCTTTTAAGACAGGGGTGACAAACTGGCGGCCCATGGGCTGGATGCGTTACATGCAGGCCACACCCATCCCAGCTCCATAAATGGGTAGAATGTCACAAAATGTCACGTGACGGCAACATGACATGGCAAGTGTGACACTCGTGCTTTAAGACAGATCGGCCAGCCATTTGTCTGGAATGTTATAGGGTATCCTGCCTGAGAAGGAGATTGGACTAGAAGACCTCCAAGGTCTCTTCCAACTCATAACCTATTCTGTTACGGGCTTGCTACTCTCTTGGCAACCAAATTGCAGTGATTCTGCCACTAGTTTTTTTCTAGGGTTTATGTTTTTTAACTTCCAGGTCTTGCCAAAAGCACAGTATTGCCTATTGGTGCCACATCCAGGTATTAACCAGGTTCAATTTAGAAGAGGAAAACAACAACAAAAAAAGGTTTTCGCCTACGTTTTTCGGGCCTTTTCCAGTCCTTTTTCGACCTCTTTCTGGAGCTATTTTTGGCCCATTTTTGGGTGTTTCTTTCAGCTTCTTTTTGGGGCTTTCCCCCCCGTTTATGATGCTTTTTTGGGGCTGTTTTTGAGGCTTTTGGGGCCATTTTTGAGGTTTTGGGGGGCCATTTTTGAGGCTCCTTTGGATCGTTTTTGAGGCTTTTTTTGGCCCATTTTTCTGAAAAAACGTTCCTGTGGTTATGAAGGTGCAGGAAAAGGAGAGACACCAACTTGGGTTCTGCCAACCGTTGTACATTTATGATGGCTGCAGCATCCCAAACTCAGGATCCCCATTTGTGATCTTCTCAGCTAGATTCTGAAGCAAAATTAGTAGGGATGCCAGCAGGAAATTGCAAGTCGCAGTTTGTGGAACAGATGCAAGTTGGCACTGTCATGTGACATCATGCTTCATGACCGGCTGCTTAAGGACACAGAAGCCAGTCCCAACTGCACTCAGTAAGTCAGGATTGCTTGAATTGGGTTGTCACCAGAAGGGGTTGTAGACAGCATTTTCTTCTCTTATTTGCAGCTGAGGACTTTCATGAGCAAAACTGGTGCTTCAAATCTTGCAGAGGTTTTCGACATCATTTCCTCAGTTCAAGCCCCACATCTCTAAATTTAGCTCAGAAGGTTTGACATTAACCAGTTTGGGACATTTTGTCAGGCTGAAAACTCATGGAGCTTCCACATATATCATTTGTAGGTGTTTGTATCTGTATTTCTTTCTATATGCATATATCTGCAATTATATAATCTATCCTCAGTACATAAAGATATATTTGAGGATAACCCTTTTCAGTGCCAAGAATTTATGATTGATCCAAGTCAACAACATAATTTCATGATTGAATAGATATCTTGGTACTCTTCCATGTGTCAAATGAATCATAATTATTGTAAGAGATTATTCTAGCATTGTGGCATGTTTGCTTTTTTATTATAATGTATACTTTTTTTCACATCTTCTGCAACCATTTTATACACAATTAAAGTTACACTTTTCTTTGAAACTTATAGACAAAGAGGATGGCAATAAGAGCACTCTGGACAACTGGGAATAACAAGCAACATTGAAAAGGAAATAAAATTGAGCCAGAAATCAAAATATATTCTAGTTCCTTTAGAAAACCACACAATTCTCCTTCTCCAGCAGCTAATAGACAAAAGAGAGAAAATTAACATGAGATTTTGAGCTGGAAAAAGTAGAGGATACGAAACTCAAGGATACATTGCATGAAAGATCAAGGAAGATTATTTTTCATTCAGAAAAAGATGGAAATATCTGGAAGTTAGGGGGAAGGAAAAGGTCTTATTGGGCAGGGCACATAGGACAGACAATGATAAACACCACTAAACAATAGATCACACATATTTTTGACCTCAAGAATATCAGTTGTGGAAAAGCTCCATAGATCTGCCTATTGTAGAAAAAGCACAGATTGCAAATCATAGCTGATTAAAAAAGAAGATCCCAACTGTAGAAAAGCCATACAAATTATCTGAATATGCCAAAAAGTTTCGTCAGAACAGCTTCCTTGTGTTTCATGGAACGACCCACACAGGAGAGAAGCCATACGAGTGCTCCCGACGTGAATACTTTAGTGAGCATGGCAACATGGTGATACATCACAGGACACCCATCACATAAGAGTGTCCAAATTGTGTGAAAGTTTCATTGGAAATTACCACCTCATGAGACAACAAAGAACTCACACAGGAGAGAAACCCTTTGAATGCCCTATCTGTGGGAAAGGTTTCAGTCGCAATTCCAGCCTGGTGATACACCAGAGGACTCACACAGGAGAGAAACCCTTTGAATGTCCTGATTGTGGGAAAAGCTTCAGTAACAATTCCAATCTGGTGACACACCAGAAGACTCACACAGGAGAGAAACCGTTTGAATGTCCTAATTGTGGGAAAAGGTTCAGTTACAATTCCAGCCTGGTGATACACCAGAGGACTCACACAGGAGATAAACCATTTGAATGTCCTGATTGTGAGAAAAGTTTCAATCACAATTCCAGTCTGGTGATACACCAGAGGACTCACACAGGAGAGAAACCATTTGAATGTCCTGATTGTGGGAAAAGTTTCAGTCACAATTCCAGCCTGGTGATACACCAGAAGACTCACACAGGAGAGAAACCATTTGAATGTCCAGATTGTGGGAAAAGTTTCAGTCAAAATTTCAGCCTGGTGATACACCAGAGGACTCACACAGGAGAGAAACCATTTGAATGTCCTGATTGTGAGAAAAGTTTCAATCACAATTCCAGTCTGGTGATACACCAGAGGACTCACACAGGAGAGAAACCATTTGAATGTCCTGATTGTGGGAAAAGTTTCAGTCACAATTCCAGTCTGGTGAAACACCAGAGGACTCACACAGGAGAGAAACCATTTGAATGTCCTGATTGTGGGAAAAGTTTCAGTCAAAATTCCAGCCTGGTCACACACCAGAGGACTCACACAGGAGAGAAACCGTTTAAATGTCCTGATTGTGGGAAAAGTTTCAGTCGCAGTTCCAGCCTGGTGACACACCAGAGGACTCACACAGGAGAGAAACCGTTTGAATGTCCTGATTGTGGGAAAACTTTCAGTCGCAGTTCCAGCCTGGTGACACACCAGAGGACTCACACAGGAGAGAAACCATTTGAATGTCCTGATTGTGGGAAAACTTTCAGTCACAATTCCAGCCTGGTGAAACATCGGAACACTCACACAGGAGTGAAACCATATGAGTGCCCAGACTGTGGGAAAGATTTCAGTACTAAGACTAGCCTTTTAAATCATGTGCTTATACACACAGGAGAAACCAATTAAGTGCCCCAAGAGTGGACGGTGCTTCAGGAAACATTCTAACCTTATTGCACACAAGAAAATGCGCATGGATTTTCCAAAGTGATGAGTGATGATCTAAAGCAGTGGTTCCCAAAGTGGGCGGTACCAATGTGGGGGGCGGTGGGATGACTTAGGGGGGCAGTAAGAGGCATGGGGGGCGGCAGGGTAGTGCTAGAGGCAAAAGCGGGTGGCAGGAGGGCGCTAAGTTGCAAGGAGGGTGGCGGAGGGGGGCCCCCACCCTTTGGCCTGTGCCTCGCAGCAGTTACCTCCTTGCAAGCAAACAGCAAGAAAAAACAGCTCCTTTCAGCTTCAGCATAGGCTAATAACAGACGTTGATTAGATGGGCCTCCCGACTCTCTCAGTTGTTTTGCGCAGAGCTCTGCTGCTTGCTGCAAAGAGTGTTGGAGCTATGCTGAAAACGAAACTGAAAGTAAAGCAGGCTGTTTGCTGTTTGCTGCAAGGAAAAATGAGGCAGAGGCAAAGGGAGATTTCTTTTTCTTCCTTTTCCTCAATAAAAAAGGTAGGTGCAAACAATGGGAAATTTAGGGCAAAAGAGGAGAGTTCAAGATTTTAAAACACAAAGGGAAAGGAGAAAGAAAAAGGCAAAAATAAAAATGGGAAGGGAGAAATAGAAATGAAAGAGAAAGATGTTATATATATTTAGAATTGAAATATGAATAGTAGTAAGAAATAAATGGGAAATCATGATTGTAAAAATGAAATGAATAATAATTGGAATATTTGTCTTTGTATTTTTGTAATCTAGACAATGAAAAGTTTTTCTTTTTTTTCCTTGTTTTTAGAAATACGAATAAGTATAAACTGTAACAAGTGAAATACCTTTAATGGTCTATGGCGGTGAAAGTAAAAAGGATTAAGTTGTAGCTTGGATAACATTGTTCTATTTTTCATTTAACAGCATTTTCACATATAATTTCTACAACTAGCATCCTAGTTCAATTATATATTTTTCAGACCTTTGGAGGATCACACTGCTCAAGCAAAACTAACAGGTGTGAATTAAGTTTTAGCTAAAAAATGGAGCTTTAATTCCAGAAGTCCATTCTTTAAACTTGGACTTCTGGAATTCAAAGGCTCGGGATTAAATGGTACTCCAGACAAAAGATGGAGAAGAGTATCTTGCTTTTAGAAATGATAATAACTGCCTAGAAAGGTGAGTTATGAGCTATTTTTACATCATCAGAAATTTAATTTATTACCTGTTAAAAATGCAAAGACAAGGAGTACAAGGAGCAAATAAAAGACCTTCATGTTGGGGTTGGTTCTGGACCAAATCTTACTTGTGGGGCAGAAACCAGCTCTCAGCCCTCCTTGTGACTTCTTGAAAAGAATCCCCCACACACACGCTCCACCGCCTGAGGAGGCAAGGGAGGGCTGCAGATTGATCCCAAGGGGGTCTGGGAATGGGTGTGAATTCATCCCACAGCCCTCTCCATCCCCTCCTCTGTGAAGTTGCTTTCTCCCACTCACTGTTGGTCAGCAAATTCGAAAGGAACCCCCAGCTGAGAATCACTGCTCTAGATTGGTTGATTCAGGGGATTTCTCTAGCGTTAACTAATAGTGTTAGCTATCTTTGTTACAGGGATAAATTTGTATTGGAGCAGCCTGCAGACCTCCCAAAGGCTCTGCGCACCCTGTTTTTGCAAAAAAACAGGCCCGTTTTTCACAAAACCAGGACATGCGGGGCAAGGCTTCAGGAGGCCAAAAATGGCTGTATTCTGTGTATTTTATTGTTACTTATCTTCCTTAGTGGGTCGTGCAAACCGCTATTCCAAACAATGCTATTTATAGGGGGTCGGGGTGGGGGAAGTAGTGGGTTGCCCCGGTTCTCACCGGTTCTATGGAATCGGTAGTAAAACCGGCAGGAGGCCCCACCCACCGACCCCGACATCACCAAAACACTTCTGTGCATGTGCAGAAGAGTGCGTGCATGCGTGAGCGAAGTGAGCGTTCACGGCCCCACTGCAAACTGGTAGTAAAAGTAAGTAGAACCCACCCCTAGGTGGGGGGCACTGAGGATGAGTTTGTAGTACCAAGGCGGCGGTGGACTGAAAAAGTTTGGGAACCTCTGACCTAAAGTGATGAGTGTAAAGGCTGGAATAGGGGTCTCTAAATATTTTCACAGCCCTCTTTTTGACTCATGCAGTGTACAGGTCCTCAATGGAAGGCAGGTTGGTAGTAATTCTTTTTTCTGCAGTTCTAATTATCCTCTGAAGTCTGTGTCTGTCTTGTTGGGTTGCAGAACCAAACCAGACAGTTATAGAGGTGCAGATGACAGACTCAATAATTCCTTTTTAGAACTGTATCAGCAGTTCCTTGGGCTGTTTGAGCTTCCTGAGTTGGCGCAGAAAGAACATTCTTTGTTGTGCTTTTTTGATGATGTTTTTGATGTTAGGTGTCCATTTTAGGTCTTGAGATATGATAGAACCTAGAAATTTGAAGGTCTCTATTGTTGATACTGTGTTGTCTAGTATTGTGAGGGGTGGAAGTATGGGAGGGTTTCTCCTAAAGTCTACCACCATTTCTACAGTTTTGAGTGTGTTCAGATCCAGTTTGTTCCGGTCACATCACGAGGCTAGTTGTTCAACCTCCCGTCTTTATGCAGATTCATCATTGTCTCGAATGAGACCAATCACTGTTGTATCATCTGCAAACTTCAGTAGTTTAAGAGATGGATCATTTGATATTCAGTCATTGGTATATAGAGAGAAGAAAAATGGAGAGATCACAAATCCTTGGGGGGGGGGAGTGCTGTGCTAATTGTACAGGTATCTGATGTGATTCTGCTTAGCTTCACCTGCTGCTTCCTGTCTGTTAGGAAGCTTATGATCCATTTACAAGGGTGTTCAGGTACCGCTAGCTGCAGTGGTGGGATTCTGCCGGTTTTAGGCAGTTCGGCCGAACCGTTTGTTAAATTGCTTGCTCGCCCCGCCCCTTGCCCTGCCCCTCTGCACCACTATTTATTGCCAATAAATAGTGGTGGGGCGAGCGAGCCAGCAATTTAACAAACGGTTTGGTGGTTTTTTGTAATTTATTGGCCTCGCAGCACACCAAACTGTTTTTTAAATTGCTGGCTCGCCCGCCCCTCACCTCGCCCCGTGTGCTGTGTTGAAAGCTTGCCTTAGTGACACACCGAGTTCGGGAGAAACGTCAGTTCAAACTTGGCACATTTTTCCGAACCATTAGTGACTTTTGGCTGGCCATGCCTGCAAACCGATTCCCGCTCGCTCACCCCGCCCGCCTGATGCTTGCCCGCTCCGCCCAGCCCCTACTTGCAGAATCTAGCCCCATACTTCTGCTCACCACTGCTGGCAAAGGTAAGGCCGAAGGGCACGGGTGGCCGGGGAAGGGAGAGCTGGTGGAGGGGTGATACCAGCAGCGGGTGGTGGACCGATGCACGCAGGGAGGGAGGGAAGCACGCGGTAGATCCTAGCTGCAGTTTACTCGCGAGCAACATTGACTGGGAGAGACAGGGAGAAAGGCCAATGGTGCTCATGGGTAAACATCATGGGTAGCAACATCCTTCCCAGCTACTGCTTTCTCTGCTCAGCAGCAGAGCTTTCTTTTTCTTTTTTTTTAAGGTTAGTCCCCTTCTGCCCGGGAGAGAGAAGAGCGGGGGCAGGGAGAGAAAAAGAAGGCAAGGTGGGATGGTGGGGGGGCGGGAGCGGGGGTCTTCTTAATCACGGCTGGATGCTGCTTCCTTGGGTCCCCTCAACTTTCCAGTCCCAGAAAGTGGCTGAAAAATGCCTCCTGTTTCCATTTTCTGTCCTTGCCTCCTTCCTGTTTTATTTGGTTTTCCCTCCCACCCTGAAAGGAGTTTCAAGCAAAAGAAGGGGGGGGGAGTCTTAATGTCTGGTTAAAATGGGTAGTACTTCCATTTAAAGAAGAAAAGCATAGCTCAGATTATTGCTATGATTTTTTGTTCCTATATTCTGTTGTTTAGGTATAAATTTTGTTAATGTAGAAATTTTACTTACAGCCTATTAAACAACGGAGCTAGCTGTCTGCCTGCGATCATGTGTATCTATTAGGAGTAATTCCCACTGAAAGAGAGTAGCCTTACTGCCAAGTAAACATGCATAGGCTTTACACTGAGAGATAGGGTATCGATTAGTATGAGGTGTATTAGAGAGAGAAATGAGAACTTCTGTAACAGCAGATAATTTGTGCCAAGACCAGGAGTGTGTGTGTGTGAGAGAGTGAGAGTGAGAGAGAGAGAGACAGAAAGAGACAGAAAGAAAGAGGGAAGGAGAGAGAGATAGAAGAGAAAGAAAGAGGAAGGAAGGGAGAGAGAGAGAGAAAAAAAACTGTGCTATTATTTTTAATTGTTCCATTATTTATCATGTATTAATATTTTACACTGTCCCTACACCTAGAGTGATTTTACTGCCTTTCGTTTGCCCAGGGCAACCACATATTTTTCAGGGATTTACATGCATTCAATGACTATAGTCCAGAGCATAAATATGTGCGTGTTTATTTGTACATCATGTTTTGTATACATACAGAGAAAGAAGCACTCAAACATCAGCCATAATACTAATGACTGTTTTGAATAATATGCAGGTTGTATTACACAAATGGCTATTTTATATGTGAAATTATGATTGAAATATTTCTGCACCTCTGCTGGTTCACACTGTCAGGAAGTTTCTTTACACTAATTATACAACAAACAAGGAATGCTTATTTCTGAAATCATGTACATTCCAGTTTTTTCCCTTTCTGGGCTCAATGTGGGCTTAAAATGAGCACAGGATCACAACCAAGTATATGTATATAGTAACAGTATTAACAATCATTAGGTGGAGTAGCCATTTTAGATTATTTATGTTGGGTATTAGGGAAGTACCCAACAGGCTACATGGACAATGCACAGCTGACTCTGTAGCTTTAAAATCAGTCTCCTGAATTTAAAATGTTATATAGGCGCTAGTCTAAAGAAAGATTCCACTATCAGTCCAGTGTGATATTGCAATCTCACATGTGTCAGTTCTACAACAACAGAACTATTCACAACAGATATTTATTCGAAGCAAGTCCCATTGACTATATGGGAAGGTGCATATTCCCAGGTAATTAAGAAATGACTGGGTGCTTAGGTTGAGTGTTTAAGGTTGCAGACCCCTGACCTATCCCATCCCATTGGTTCACCTTGAAGCCAGCCCTGTAGGCCTGCGCCCGCCTCCCACCTGGGCAGCAATGGCCTACCTACCCCAGTTGTATCACCTTGCCCTGCAGCCAGCACGAACGCCCGCCTCGGACTGCCTCCGACTGCTCCAGCAGGTCATTTTTATTTAATTAATTTAATTAAGAATGTGTCAGGTTTCGCTGCTATCTTAAATAAACTTCATTCTCAAACGCAAGGTCTCTAATGAATCTTTTTTTTATTTAAGAATAGAAAGAGCGACATCCCTGAACTCTTTGTGCAGCCAAAACTGGCACCTCCTTCCAAACCCCTCTCTTTCCGTTCTTCAACCCCAATGTCTCATTGGCCATCGTGCAGATCCATCTCTTCGTCCCAAGCACTTTCTTTTCACAGGAATTCCCCCCTCCCTCTGTCACCCAGGTAACGCTATCTACTAAAGAGCAGGAAACTAGGTAAAAGTTCATGTCAGCATTAAAGCAAAGTTTCTCCCTCTCTCATTCATGTCAGCGCGCTTAATTAATTTAAGTAAGAATGCTACAATGGGCATAAATGATGACAGGTCAAAAGTGCGAGGACCTGTCAGAAATCACTTTTTTCAGCCCTCTGGGTAGTCCCTATGTGCATATGGACTATTCAGAGGGCTGAAAAAGTTATTTTTGACCGGGCCTCGCACTTATCACTGTCCTCACATTGTACATTTTGCGCCTATCTTTT